AACATGTTTTCTTGTAATAAGTTGCAAAACCTGTTCTAAATAAACACACAGAGGTACTGTTTCTGCTAAAGTTTATTGGCATTGTGGAAGCTCTTTAAGTAAACAGTACTGAATCTTCTTTGACTAACAACTGCCATGGATTGTCCAGGTAAAGGCAATATTTACAAAATGCTGATTAACAATGTTTTAGTTTGCTGGATATTAAAGTGCATATCCATAATTTCACAGCTTCACTCCTTGCTTTGTGCCTGGTGGCTTTGAAGTTATTTGTTTGTATATCTTAACTTAATGTAACCGAAAGGAGTTCCTGCCAATACATTAACTTTTTCTTGTTTGGAAAACTTGTGTGAAGAATTTGATCCTCACTGCATATAAGCAAGAAAGAACAGTAGACATGCAGTCCAGTTGTCTATAGTGCTGCAAGTTAGAAGAACATTTTGGAGATGTTATTATAATGAATATATTCCCACAGAAAGTAATGCAAGCATATTGTAACAGAGCACCGGAAGTTAGATTTGGAGGTGTTACTGTGAAGCCTATCTGTTCAGAAATACATTTTTGGGCAAGGGAATATATTATACTGCTTGGGGTGTGTAGGAAATGTCTGTGACATGAAGGTGGAGGTGAAAGAAAAAAATATGCCTTAGAATGCTGTAAGCAGCTCTAGTACAAGTTCAACAGAAGGTTTTCATGAAATGTTCAGCAAAATTGGCTTCCATGTAGATCTTGAAGAAAGACTGAAAAGACTTCAAAGTTATTGAATCTGGCCAGAATATGACCACACAGGTATCCAGTAGAAGGAGAGCTGAAAAAAGAGCTTTTTGCTACAGTTTGATTGTCCAGAGGGAGATGAAGCATTTGGAAATGTGAATGTGACAAGCTGAGAACCCCCATCTCTTTCGTCTCAACTTTCTGGGTGCTTCCTAGTTCGGACTGACTCCTTCATGGAATTTTACAGGGGTGCATGTTACAAGTCAGCTGCCCCACCCCCACCAATTTAAACAGATGCAACAAAAGCCTTCCAGCTAAAGTCTTTGCTATGTTAAAAATAGCCAGCTAGGCTGGCTTCGTGATATAAGAGAAGGGTATTGCAGAAGTCAATAAGAAGAGACACCAACAGAGTGAGAGCCATTAGGGTAATGCAGCTTAATGATAAGAAGTTTATTTCAAACTGAAGATTTCTTCCTTCTCAACCAAAAAGCGCTGTCTCCACCTTAAGGATGATTTATGCTACTTGTGAACCTGTCAGTGGAAATGTTTGACACTACTGAATTGGTGTGCTCTTTTAGTCTGATACTGTATAATCAGACTAATAACATTAAGTATGACCCTGTTCAACTATGTTCAACAGAGTTTCCAAAGAGTCAGTCATGGTTTGGTTCTCACTGGTCTCTTGACTTAACTCTGGGTCTGTTGTCTAGGCATTTCAACTAAAAGTTCTAACCTCTTCTTCCAGTTCTGATTTAGAATCTGAGACAGCAGCCTTGAATTACTGTATTTGAGGAGAGTTGATCTATTCCCTCAAGTCCAGATGCTTTTTTTCTTTAACTTTTAGCTTCCTTGTTTTTCTCACAGATTTTAACATGTTTCCAGGAAAAAAAAATCTAAGGAAAAAAAGAATAAAGGTGCAGTGCTTTTTACCATTAGTCTTAAGAGCCCTTGGTGTGGAAGCATTATCTCCTTTCCTTTTCTTGAAGGAAGTCCCTTCCTTTATTCATGAGTTCTCTGTTCACCGCTACTGTTCATGTATATCGGAATTTTCCAGACCTAGCCAATAGAAAGAGATATGTTGCAGTCCTTACCAGCAAAGACTTACATACACATATATACAGTCTATGCCTGTATTTGTGCAGTCTGTGCCTTAGGAAAATGCCTTATACAGAATTTGACCATCAGGGCTGGGCAACTTGTGACCCTGAAGAAATTTTGCCCTGCAACTGCCAAGGTCAGTCAGCATTGGCTGTGCCAGGTAGGGTTGAATGAAGCTCTAGGCTAAAACACAAGCCACAAGTTACCCAACCAGGACAGACTGAGTCTGTCTAGCTCAATATTGTCTACTGTGCTGACTAACAGTAGTTCTCCAGGGTTTCAGAAGAGGTGTTTCTAATCTTGTCTTGAAGATGTTCAGTATTGAACCTGAAATATTGTGCATGCAAAGAAAGTCTTCTGCCTTTGAGTGAACCGTATGGTTGTTTGTAAGTTTTTATTTATTTTATTTCTGTACCGCCCATAGCCAAAGCTCTCTGGGTGTTTGACAGCCAGCTTAGTGGGTTCTCTTATAGCTTTTTTTTGCTTGTTCTAACTGTTGTTTCACAGTGACAGTTCTCTTTAGCTGTGCAGATGTCTGCATGTAAACAAATGGCAACCATCAGCTCAGCAGTGAAATGTCTTAGTTTTTCAAATAGAATTGCCAGTGCAATTTCTTGTGTCTTCCTCTAGATTTTCACCTTTCTAAATACTACACAAATTCTTGTAAGATGTAATACTTGTGTAGCAGCTGAACTCAGAAGCCTGAATGTTCAGCCATTTGTTGTGGACCATATGTTTATGCAAATTTCTTAGCATAAAAGGTTGAATACAATCAATCATATAGTTTCATGAAGAACAAGGGTGAGAAGATTGAGTGGTGCTGTTTTTGAGTGGAAGACATCAATGTGCTAAAATGGTCTTTTACTGTGGATTTATTTATTCATTTCTATATTGCCCAGTAGCCATTTACAACACATAAGGCCAAACCTTTTTGCCCTTCCCACAAAAAATCACCCACAACAGTGGTTGAGAGGCATTGTGAAACATTGTGTATATTTTTTGCACCTGTCAGGAGCCAGGATCTTCTCTGGTCCTATGTCTTCCATCTTTGTGCTGTTATTGCCCACCCAAATCATCAGTTTAGAAATAAGTTTGCAGCACTTCTAGAAACTCGGGGGAAATCTTATCATGCATGGCCACACCCACCAGGCATCTGGATTTAAGCACTACAGTAAAGAAAACATCTTCAAGTGCAAAGTGCTGCTTCTGGCTTTGATGTATTAACCAGGGGTACAAATCACAGAGACATTTTTGTGGTTTTCTCAAGGCTGTGAGAATGCACACTGCCATGAGTCTGCTAAGACATCTTTCAGCCTGCAAAATGGTTTCTCTGTGTAGGCCTTTTCATAATTCTTCCTTCCTGTTGGAACCATTTCCAGGTGTTACAGCTTCAGTTCTTTGCATAATACCTATGAAAGCCATTTGAAAAGTATTCTTGTTCCTTCTGGGCAGTCCCTTTAACATAAGAGCTCTTGTGCTCACTAGCTTTCAACATACATTGTAACAGCTTCATAGAGCTAGTTAACAATTCAACTTGATTTCAATTTGGTGTCTGAACTCCATAGCAGAGGTATTTATTGCTGGGAGGGGGCAGGGGTGGGTTGAAACTTCCCCTTTCTTTGGGTGTTCTTTTTTAATGAAGTGGTGAGGTATTTTTAGTGAACTGTGATATGGATTTTTCTTAGACAAGAATCCTCAGTATTATGAAGGTTTTGGTTATTTATCTAAATTATTTATTATATTGTTAGTCTTAATGGTGGCTAACAACTAAATTGAATCCCACAAACTAAAAATGAGCAAATCATAACCAGGAAAATGTTTGAACATCAGAAATAGCATAAACTGCCAAAGTTAATAGCAACCTGAACAAGATTATTTTTACTTGCCTGCAGATGCTGAAAAGAGAAGGGGGTCAAATGAACTTCCCTTGGGAGTGAGTTCCAGACTTGGACTGGGACTACAGAACATGTCCTGACTAGCCTAGCTTGAAATATCATCTGATTTCTTATGAAGACCAATGTTGTGGCTATTCATTAGTATTTCCTTACATAGGCATAATCGACTAATAGGCTAATGACTACTGAAAAGCAACATTGTATCTGTACAGCTGGAGCTAAAATAGTTTTGGAATCTCTTCTGCCTTCCCTGCTCTCCTAGGCCTTTTAAGGTGCAATCATGTATATGTAGAACATTTTTTTTTTTTTTTTGAATCTAGACAGCTTCCAGGATTTTCCAGCCGGCCACACTGGTAGTTGTAGGACACCTTTCTTTTTAAGTATACGTAGGAGTGTGCCTTTATTGACATGTACAGCATTGTCATTTAGTTCTTACACATGTTTATAGGCACATACATTGATGAAGTTAAACATGGTAATGCATTGATAGTGCATTAAAGTGATTGATATGCTGTGAAATTCAAGAGTCCCAGTCTCTCAGTGGGAGGCATCCATTAATTCCTCAGTATCTCTAACATCCTAGATAAAGACACTGGGCAGCTTCATACAGCATGGCAGCCCCTTGGGAATTTTAGCTTTGTACTGCTGTTAAAATTCCCTTGTGCCCCAACAGATGATCGAGCACAGCAGGGGGTAGTGTGCCTCAAGGAAACGGGCATATTTGTCTCAGATGTCATGGCTTAGTATTGTGCAAATACAGTCATTGAAAAGTTTTGAGGAACCCAACTATATTACCACCATGTTAACACCCCTCAGATCCAATTTGCATAAAACCCTTATATTTGAGTAACAACATTGCTGTATTGCAGTGGTGTTGAATATTCTTCCTAACATTTGAAGAGCAGAAGTGTACAGCAGCAGAATTAAAATTCCTATTTGCATTTGAGGGAGGCACAATGAAAATACATTCTGCCCCCTACTCATGTTTCCTAGATACACGCGAAGGGAAAGGAGGAAGCCCAGGTTAAGCTGAGGAGGAGGAGAAAGTGGTGATGGTAGCAGCAAATGGCATCAGTGACACTCGCACCATTTCCAAGATCTCCAAGGGGCAGCTGGAGCAAGCCTAGGAGAGATAAGGAAGAAGCAGTGATCTTCTTTGCGAAGAGGCTGAAGCTGAGGCAGGGCAGGGAAGATGGTAGTAGCTGGAGAAGTGGGTAGTGAAAGAAGGTAGAAAGCATGGCTGATGAGAAGGGCAGGTGTGGTTGGGTACCTGCTGAGGGCTCACAATCCCACAGAAGCCCTCTGGAGTTGCTCCTGCCCTTCACTTTTATGATCTGTTTGTTCTGCCTTGGTTCAGACAGTGGTGATAGGGGGGAGCAGTAGGTGCCACTGCCTGCTTGCTCATTGGTGCTTTGCCTGTTGAACAAATACTAGCAATGAGGAGGAAGGCGATAAGGAATAAGCCCAGCTGGTGAGAAGGCTGACTCATGGAGCAAATGGTCTCAGTGCAGTTATCTTTCCAAGTGCCCCCAGAAGCCTGGTGATAGCACTGGTAGAGAGAAATCCAGAAACTTTGGGTGAGATGCTGTGAATTGGGGAAAGGCCACAGAAAGGCATATTTGCCTTGGGATAAGGATGCCAGTGGGGATGTTGCAATATAGCAGCTTGTTTCTTACAAGTGTTGAATGCTTTTCATTTTGTTTCTAGCAAGAATGGTCAGCTATATTCACCAGTTATGGCAAAAGGGCCACTTTGCAAGGACAATTATACATGCATTTGAACCTAGCAGAGGTGCTAGATACCAAGCCTGCAAAAGAGACGTAATTTTAAAATGTCAAATAACTATAATTCTTTCAAAATAAAAACACAGTTTCTTTTCCTTTTGAGTGAAACTATTGGCAAATATTTTTTATTGCACCTTCATTAATGTTTTGTGGGGCCATCAGACAAAATTGGCTTAGGATCATGTTCATCCAGTGGGCTTCTGGTGGACTATCTCTGGTCATTGTTATACATGCATACATCTGGACACCTAGGAATTCTCTCCGTATAGATTTTATTTTGTTAGTATATTAGAATGGGCTTCTGAGTAAATAATAGCCCCTGGCTTGTTGTTCCTGTCCTTGTTAGAAAGTCATCTGCTGCAATACACATATCGAATATCTGATAGCATATCAGGACTAGTATTTTAAAAGGATGATTATTGTGACGAATGTGATTGCAAGGAAGCTTTTGCTGTGGCTGAGCAAATTCACCAAGGGATCAGTGCTGCTCCTGGCAAAGAGGGGAAATATATGTGGTTCTTTGTCTTCTGCATTTTGGGACAAAAGAATTCCCATTTGAATTGCGGTGCTCTATTCAGGCTCCCTCTGAGCCTGTGGTTAACAGCAGTCAGTCTTTGCAGTGTTCTGACGTCATCCAGTGTATGCATAAACTATGCTATTGTCTTACTGAGAGCAGGGGCTGTGGATTGCAGTATCTGGTGTCTGCTACCTATTTCTGCCTCACTGCATCAGCAGGAAAGACACTGGCCTTCCCTTGTCTAAAGGATTTAAAACTAAATGCTCCTGGTTTTTTAAAATTATATTTTTTTTGCTTCTCCAAAGAAGACGTGTTTTGCTTTAAGGGCTGCAGGAAAAGGGAGTCTGCAGAGTGAAGCTTGGGAGAAGAGAGCAAAATCTGGTGACTGGATAGCTGTGGGGACTGCGTTGTCTGGCTTCATGATCCCTGCTGTGTAGCAGTCTCATCTCTCCCTCATTCCTTCTCTCTCTCTTTCCCTTGTTAACCCCTCTTTTGAGATAGCAAGCATCTGGAGCCAGCCATGTTTGGCACTGAATCGTCATGTAAGTAAATGGGTTATCTCACTTGCATTTTTTATTTAGGGGCAGGGTTTGCTTTATGGCTTCGTTCCATGCCCAGTGACTGTATCTGTTGTGCTGCAGGGTTTGTGTGAAAGACAATCACCACCAGCACCACCACGAAAAATCTGTGGTTCTGGCTTGTTTATTAAGAAATGAAGGATGCTGGGGAGGTTTTGACTCTCTTTTTGTGCATCTTTGACACTGGCAGCAGGAGAGCATAGAGCTATTGGTGATGCTGAATCCAGGCCACTTGAAGATGCAAAAGAAAATGTGGCTTTGCTTGAATGTGCATGTTCCTTATGTGTGGGTTGCACAGACACGCATATGATTGCAGTAGCGGTAATTAAGAGTTACCAGTGTGATAATGAGGGTGCTTGAAGGATTGACAAGGATGCTCCAGGATTAAGTGCTGGAGAGCAAGACGATATTTGATTTAACAATGGAGCATCAGTTTACTACTGTAATTGCAGGTGTCTCTCAAATTTTGTATGAAATATATGAAGCCTGGCTGGTCATTTGATGGGATGAGAAGAACACAGATTAGAGATACAGTAAAAAGAGGACATTTTCAAGCGCGATGCCAGTGGTTTGTGACATCTAAAAATTGACAAGCTCTGCCTGGTGCAAAACAGGCAGTGCAGATGTGTATCTCTGAAAACCAGGTGGATTTCAGCAGACTCATTGGGGACCGACCAAAAGTGAGAGGGGGTTGTGCAAAAGATCTCACTCCTGTTCAGATTATTGATGGCAAGTGTGTGCCTCAAAGGGATCAGAATTGCCTGTGGGGCTATAACTAAAATGAAAATAAAATATGATGCTAACTTTCTTGGTATGATGCCATCTGCACTAAAATAATCATATTTCATGTTCTAGGTGATTGTGACATGGAACACAATGCATTTGTTACAGTAGGTTATTTGGGGACCATGATTGCAGGGGTCACAGTTCATTCAGAATAGTAACATTCTAGGGTAACACTTTTATCCCTTAAAGTATCTGATGTTTCAGAGGGTTAATTGGTTCTTTGATTCAGCTTTGCATTCCTACTAACACAATGCCTGTTCAAGGTCAAGGCAGAATAAGATGTATCATGCCTTGTGCATTGTTATGGTTTTCTTCTCTCTCATCTGAAATGTTGCAATAGTGGTCTTTTATCTTTGGTTGATCTTGTGTGCACACACATATATAGGCTGCAATCTTATGCACACGTTCTGCAGAACAAGCCCTACTGAATACGTGGGGCTTCTGAGAAAACGTGCATGAGATTGCGCTGTTAGTAACTGTTACTGAAAGAAGAATGCTGGACACTTTTGGTTTGGTGAAATGGCAGTAGCCAAATATCTGGAGAATATGAGGGCCTTCGTATAGAAAGCGGAAACTAGTACTATTATTTCAGCACCTTTACTAAGGATGTATGGCATAGACATAGTTAATAGTAAATAACTGTCTATATAAATAGTCATCAACATAAAGGGTTTCCTTATTGTCTGTTGAACAGGACTCTTCCGTAGAGTCACCAATGTGCTATCTAACTGCCTGCCTGTCTGACAACAGCTGGGCAAGCTTTTGTTTCCATGACATCCAGATTAATGAATTTTCTGTTTTTTGTTTTTTTTTTAAAGGAGTGTTTGGTCTGATCATGGCAAAATGAACTGCTACTATAAAAAGCATTTACCTACCTTTTACCAACCAGAGCCAAACAAAACATTACAGTTGGGGATTTCAGGAAAAAGAGCAACCTTAGTCAAGGCATTGTGCTGCTTTGCCCAGTTTTAGGCAGGCTAAACTGCTCTTTCAAGCTGGGGATGAGCAGCTTGGAACCAGTCAGAGGAAGTGTTGCAAAGGTTTTTAATCTCATATTTACAGAGGTCTGTTATCTGCCCTTTGTCTCTAGGATGCCTTCAGATGATAAGGGATTGTGATCTCACCTGTGCAAATGAGCCATGCATCTAGAATGTCCATTTTTGGGAAACCAGTATAAATGGAATACACCAATTGTACAGTTCATTTGCAGTTCATTTTCACTTGCAAAGGTGTTCTGGAAAAGGGCAATTCAGATACGTGTCTGTATGTCTAGTGTGGTGCACCATGTATGCTTCAGACTATGGATTTCTGGCCTGTTAACTGCACATCCAAAGCCAGGCCAAATCCTTTTCTTCTCCTGTATGTTACTGCTTCTAGCACCTAAGCCCAACAGTGTTCTGAGACATGGCTTGAAGAAGCAAATGATTCTCAGATTGTTCTATGAATGCATAGTCTGATAGTTTATCTTATGCCTAAAGCAGTCTCTCACGGACTTACTGATTTAGGGGCACCATTCTGAACTTCCACTATATTTCATGCAACTTCCTGTACAACCCATCATCATTCCATGGTAGAATATATGGAGATTCTCATGCCTAACTACATGCAAGCCTCTGTTGTATGTGGATTGGAGCACTAGTCCAACCATAGCATTAGGAGAGAACAGATGATCTAGTCTTTCTAAAGACAACTGTGTACATCTCTTTCTCTACTTTGCTTTTTCTGATTCCCAAGGGGTAAGAAAGAAATATGGGCTGGTAAAATCTTCCAGGAGATACTTGGCCTGTGTAAGTCTTACTTGATATGAGAGGAGAAAAAGAAAATCTCCACTGAATCAGGATCTTTTCCCTTCTGAAACTCAAAATATCTTTAAGAAGTTCTGTGCATATCTCCCCTACAGTAAAGCATTCCATCAATGTTGATGATATTCAATGCCATACACATTTCCCAGAACTTGTCAGAGGAAGAATTGTGCCTGTGGGCCTATAAAATATCTGTTCTACTTCGGCTTGGCTATTCACTGGCCCAAAAAAGAGACTGTGCTGCAGAATCTTATGCTGGGGTGAGGGGTTGGTGCTGCAATTTGAGTATGTGCAAGCACTTGGAATGGCAGAAAAATCTTGAACTGGCCGCTTAGTGTGACAAAATATTTCTTTTAATTCTGGAAGCCATACACAAATGTTTTCTTAAATCAATGCCCTCATTCAGTCCAAATAAAGTGAATTACTGTATTTTTAAAAGTGGAGTAATTTTGAGTGATTTTGTCAAAGAAATGTTGTCAGGTCAACAGCAACCACATAACATTTGGGGATTTGGGCTTGGAGGGAAGGAGAACTGAGATCCAAGAGATGCTTGTATTAGCTAATACAGAGAAAAGAAACCCAACTCAATGTCACAGCCTTCAGAGTGCTTATAAGAAGAAATAATTTTCAGATACTGATTTTTGTTAGTTTATCCAGTCCTTCCCTCAAGATTACACTCCTGTACAAATCAGGAAACAGTACAGTGTGTTTTTCCTAAGGTGTACAACAACTGTAAAGTTGGTCAGAATTATCCCCATATTTCAGGTGAATGGACTGAGGCCTAGATAGATTGACTTGTCTTGAGTTATTTACTGAGTTCATAGTAGAGGCCTGTTTGAATTGGTGACTTTCTGATTCATGGTTTAATCACAGGTTACTGCTTTATCTTGGGCAGACTTTCTATCATATAACATTCCTTGCACTGCAGCTATAGTGATATAGTAAGAAATCTGTGATTCTTGATGATTACTATATTAATGCTGCTTCTTACCTGAATATACACCTGATACCCAGCTGTTACTTTTGCTTACTTCTCTCTGAATGCTCTGGCATGGACACGATCTTGAAGGAGGTTTGGTCTCTCATGTCATGCCAGGCTGGAGCAAACTTCTGAGTATTCTCAACCTGTGTAAGCACAGATATTCTCTAGAGTCTTCTGCAACGTCCACCAGCAGCAAGAATTGCTTTTGCTGCTTGTGAATGCCTCTGACGCATGCCAAGAAATGAGTGAACAAGCATACTTTCCTCCTGCGTCCTCTAAAAAAGCAAGCAAGTAGAGAATGTCTGATAGTTGTGTGCATGCCTGTGTGTGTGCGTGTCCCAGTTGAAGATGAGTAAACAACTCTGCCCTTCAAGAGGATTCAAGGAAGGAATTGGTTTCTTACCTTACACTGGGCTGGGAGATGCTCAGAAACAGTGAGGCCTTCAGTCTCACACAAAGTGAATGTTAATGCTCTTACCCCTCCCAAGGGGTGTGTGCGCTAGCTAGAGAATTTAGGGTAGTGTTTTGCTTCGTCTCACATACCCAGGCTGTTATTAAGCAAGAGATCATTTCCTACACCCCAGCTCTGAGTTTTCTGTGGTACAACAAACTTGTGTCCTGCTTATCCACCACAATGTGAATGACTAAGAGTAGATTTCTCTTTGTCAATGACCCTAAGACAACCATGTTCATGGGGATCTGTCAGACAACTTCCTAGATGGTGTTGAGGTAGAAGTATTTGCAAAGCTAAGTTAGGCAATGTATGCATTCAGAAAATGCCCTCTCATTCCTTATAGCTAGGTTTGAGTTCCTTTTTCCAGCCTGGTGAAAGGACTTGCAAGTGGATACAGATGGCCACGTTGGGTTCTATTCCACCACAGATGCAAATTGGTAATTAGAGGGAGTGGAAATTGTGTACCACCACAATATGTGATTGGTGCTTCTGAATTACATGCATATTTAATACCCTATTAAATGGGAAGTAAGTGCTAGAAATTCCAAATGGCTCCCTTCTCTAACTGTATAAAAAGTTAAGTTGATAGCCTTTAAGCAAGAGAGGAGAAATCTATATATGAATATGACAAAGACAAACTCAGGGGTACAGTCCATGGTTTGCATACAGAAGGCCCCTGGTTCAATTCCTGGCATCTCTAGGGAAGGTTGGGAAAGATACTGGGGAAGTTCTCACACCCTGAATAACTGCTGCCAACCAGTGCATAGCAGTTGTGGGAGCCCTTTTTCTGTTTGAGGTTGCAAGGCTGCCTTCCCTTGAGGGTAACCTCCTGGGCTGGAGGGGAGGTGACCCTAGGGTTAAAAGTAAGTGAAGACATTTCCCTTTCTTCTTCCTTTCTGTTTGTGCTACCTCTTTCCTCTCTTTGTCTCTCTTCCTTCCT